ATTCACAATATGGAAAACAGCTTCTCCTTTTTTCCAGAGGACAAAAAAGTTGTTGCAGATCCCCAGCTGGCTTGAGAGAATGTAGGTCTATGAAAGATGACAAATATTAATGCAGCTACTCACCAGCCAAGGACCTAGCTCAGAGGGCTTCAGAATAATTTCTCCTCAGTAGCATTCAAATGACCCTTACTGTACTTCCTCCGTGTAAAACTATAGTCAATGAGAGAAGAAATAGTTTCTCCGACTCCTATGGCACTGTACCGAGCAGGGACCCACACTGCAGCCCATTAAAGAGCGCACGCTGGAGCAGGGGAAAAGTGTGTGGAGGAAGGAGCAGCAGAGACGAGCTGGTATAGACACACCACACCTCCCATTCCCCATCCTCCCTGTGCTGCTCAGGGTGGGGAGGCAGAGGAGTTGGGGATGAAGGAGTGATGTTGAGCCTGGGATAAAGCCTGGGGGAGAGGGGAGGAAGGTGGTTTAGTTTTTGTCTTTGTTTCTCACCATCCAACTCTGTATTTAATTGGCAATAAATTAAATTAATTTTCCCCTGGTCAAGTCTGGTTTGCCCATGATGGTAATTGATAAGTAATCTCCCTGTCCTCATCTCAACCCACAGCATTTGCCATCTTATTTTCTCTCCCTGTCATGTTCAGGAGGGAGAGAGAGAGAGCAGCTGGGTAGGCATCTGGCAGCCATCAAAGGTCAAACCACCACAAGCAGATATATAATCTAGAGCCCTAAATCTAATATTCTTCGATGATTTAGGCTCTCAGAGAGAGATGTTCCATGATATCCAAGTACCCAGCACCTATGCCAGGAGGAGTCAGATTTTTAGCTGATTAGAAGGGAGGATCTATCTTAGAAAACCCCAGGACTGGCCCTTAGCTGCCTGCTCCACCTCCTCCCCAGAGATTCCCATCCACACTGCAGGGACCGTTCAGGTTTCTGCTAATTACTTACTCAGCTGCCACAAATTACAGCCTGATGTATTAAGAAAACACAAAACGGGAGCGAGTTTACCTTAACTACATGAAGCTTGACTGCCCTTTTAGGGCAGGGGGCATAGTTTTTCATTGAATGTCTGGGCTTTTTTGTTTGTTTGTTTTGGTAATGTTAATGTGACCTCTGAATCAGGGCAGTAGAAAATTCTGCCTCTTCCAAAATTTTCTGCTTGGTTAGAGCAAATACAAAGCAATTCACTATACAGATACCAGAACTGGCACAGACCAGCAAAGAACACATTATATTTAAAAATGTAACACGCAGGTGCTCAGAGGTTAAGCTCACCTATTCTGGTCTCAAGCTGACATGACATAAAATCAGAGGTAGAACAGCTTTTGTGAACTGAGCTGAGGAAACAGGCCATTCATTAAAATGTCATACTGAAACACTGGAGATAAGTGACAATAGTTTAAACAGCAAGCAGAAATAGAATGAGGGGCAAAAAATTTCCCTATTTAGCAGTCCAATAACATTTAAAAAGACTTGATAGTAGCTGGTTAACCATCATTTCCAGAAAAAACCCCAAAATCTCCATGATTTAATGTGGAAAGAGAAAAATAAAGACAACTCCAACACTACAAAAGAAAAGGAAACACATTCTCTGTCTTTAAGGCTAAACTCAGCAAACACCTGTGTATCATCTAAATTTATGAAGATAAAGCTAGATCACACCTCTCACAAATACCTGTGCCCACACTACTAACCTTCCACAGGGAAGCCTTAGGCACTTTTTTTTTAGTATGTGTGCAGCATCCTATTATGTGGAGCTATAAAGAAATTAGTCAGTGCTAGAAGGGCAAAGCTGGGAAATGCAGCCAAGAAAATCATAGCCTAGAAATTACAGTGGTGGCAGAAAGAAGATTTGCTGCTGTCCTGGGGCTAACAGGGAGAAGTGGATGATATTTTGTCCTTTCCCACCCTAAAAGTCTCCACTCCTGGGGACAGGATCTGAGTAAGTTTGACTGAAGCAATCAAGTAAAATGGAGATGTCATGCTAGAAGGGATAGCATGGCTGGACAAACCAGAGGTCACAGGCTGGATTTTGCCTCCAGTGCCTGTCTTCCCTTCACTATCTGAAAAGACAAATGGACTCTTCATACATTCACTCCTATGTAGCAGGTTTGCTTTGCCAAGATAAACACTAGAAATCACATTTTTTAAGTTGTGGAAGTTGATGCTGGTGTCCCTAACTGGGTTTTACAAATCTCGTTTAGGACAGCAAATTAGCTTTATAAAAGCACTCCTGTAAGGTAAGTAAACAACCACCCCATTTTACGAAAGAAGGAGGCACAAGAGGTTGAACTGCAGCAGTTCCTGAAAAAGAACCTGGGATTTCCAATCCTCATCCATATTAGCTGCTTCCCACAGGCATCCATCTCCCTAATGCAAAATAAAGCTTTATAATTTCTAAGTGTTTTACTGCATTGATGTGGAGATACTGAAGAGCAGTGCTAGAGGCTTCCTCAACAGCCAGAGCACAAAGATCTGTACAGAAATGCAGAGTTTGATGCAGGCTGTAGGATCCTTTCCTTCCCCTTAGCATATGCATTCAAAGGGTCTAATGCATAAAGAATGTGCCCCAGAAATTGCTGCCGAGCTGAAGAGCCCTCCAGTGACTCAGTACAACTCCAGGCTTGAATCTCCATCACTGTTCACAAGGAGTTCTCACCCAAAGAGGTTGGCAGTCATAAATAAATGTACAGCAGTTTGTGGCTACCAGCAAATTTCCACGATCCGTTAGTTTGGATCTGGGCTAAACGTGAACCAAAACTGAAGAAGTTACGGGTCAGAGCACTGATATATAAGCAAGGCCGGCAATAAATGGAAAAGTGCAGCCCCAGAAGGTACTACAGGTAGCTTCAATCTCATCCAGGCATCTCTATTGAAAAACAGACTTCGGGTTTATTGGGTGCTTCTCCTACCTCAGGCACTGCGGCAAACATGACGTTTACTGAAACACTAACCCTTGATGTGCTCAATACATAAGCATTGAGGGCTGCAGGTAAGCTTGTGTCACTGCTGGAAGTAGTAAGCTTCAGGCATTTCCCCTCTTTTGTACAGTAACCCTTAGATTTTTTCCTCCCCCTTTGACTGGACTATGAATGGAATGAGTGAATCCAAGGCAAGGAGTTACACTGTAGGTTTGCCTGTTGTGTAGAAGGGGTAAAAGGCCTCCAGCTTTCCTGAGGTCCGGGTAAATACAGAATACTTCTTTTACTTGGGGCTAAGTCATGGGGCAAGAAACTGTGTGGAATGGAGTCAGTCCTTGGGAGAAAAGACATAGGTCTTCTCACCTATCTATTAATAAACAGGGAAAAAATCTGGTAGCGCATCCCATTCTTAATAGTGTTTTGCACTTTAGTGTGGCCATTTACGTTTATGCGAAATGAAAAGTAATGCAGTTCATGCGAAATGCAGTAACAAGTCTGCAAATTAAAATGGTAGGAGTTCACACTCACTTTGCTCCTGTATAAACATGCAAGATGAAAAGCAGTGGAGGGGGAAAAAAAAGTAAATCAGGCATTCATGGTAGAAACGGTAGGAGAAAGGAGATTGTAATGCTTCCATGAAATCCTTATGGCAGACTGCAGAAGAGCCTTTGAGCACAACACTTGAGACCTTGCTATGCTGGGACCCCATGCAAGGCCCTAAGCCCCTGTCAATCTCTGTGGTGCTCCTTCTTTCACACAACTGGTGCCGTAGCAGAGGGTGAGATACTTGACAAGCAACATGCATGTCTCAGATCATTATTACACGCTCAGACCTTAAAAACCACGACTGAAATGGCGGCACAAATGTAATACAAGACAGTACCTGCTTCCCTGGGAATCTCAATGGCACTGCTGTGCACTTTTGAACCAGCCAGAAAAGTCAGGAAGGTATGTATGAAATATAAGTCAGCTTTTGTAGAACAAGTCTGATCAAGATCCCCCCCAATATGTTTCCCCCCCTTCAATATTTCAGTTCTTTTAATCTTTGTGTCAACTTCCCCATGTTTCAAATAAACCAGGAACTATTAATGCATTTTCTTTTGTTTCAGGAACCAGTCAGGCTCTTGGCTTAGGACTTGGTGATTGGAAAAAGTTATTTTGCCTCAGCACTGAGTCTGCATGAACATAAAATGCTTTGGGAGCCACGACGGCATTGGCAACATAATTCTTTCAATGCTATCTACGTGGTGTAAATCCAACCTTGTTTGAAATTCATTGCCTGCCAGGCGAAACTATTCATGTATAATACATATCTTGGAGCTGGACACAAGATTACTAACATTATATTACTCCCTATTTCCTTTGTCGTGAAAGCTTTGCATTCCTGGCAAACAGAAAAAAAAAAACAAACAAACTTACCTCTCCAATAAAGAACAACCTCTCGACTATGTTTTTATTTACCATTTCTGAGCACTGTCTCAAAGTTTGGCATCAGTGTAAGAAGCACTCCTGTTCTTCCTTTTCATAAAGTTTCGAATTTGTTTGCATTGTTCATAAACTACCTTCAAAATGACATTAAGAGAGAGCATGCTTTACAACAAGCACAACCACAGTACAAGTAACAGCATGTCTTATAAAGAAGGTATGTCTCAGTCATTCTTGGGGTAATTCTAGCTGTAACAAAATAAAAAACGAAGCAACTCTGAGGTAAGCATGTAATTTTCCTCTGAAAGCCGTAAGTCTACATTCTGCTAATATTCTTCACACTTTTATAAGGCGAGACAGTGTCACATTTGAGCTTTGCTTTGTCATCTTTTTGAACCTAAGCTTCTCATTAACCACCTTGAAAACAAATACTTGTTCCCAGGAAGAAGTATGTGCGTATGTACTGTGTTGCATGTATGCGGTAAGGGCAGTGCATCCTGGACACAACAGGGCTGCAAATACTCAGGAAAAACCACTTCAAACCACGCCAGGCTGACTGTCTCTGTGTCAGTGGTATAATGCCTGCTCATGAGGTTTGCAGACCATGGAAATTTTGGCCTTGCTGTGTACAGTTCTTACCTCTGGGCACAGATGATCAGAGTCTGACCCCTGGGGTGTTCACAGTGGAAATCCTCCTGGTTATGGGAAGTCCCAGGACCCAGCATCAGGTCTGCACTAAGATGGCCCATCCCTACCCCTCATTTCCATGAGCGTGACAGAAGAATGGCCAAAGATGGGCTTGACAAATCATAGAATCACAGAATGGTTTGGGTTGGAAGGGACCTTTAGAGGCCGTCTAGCCCAACCTCCCTGCAGTGAGCAGGGACAGCTTCAACTAGATCAGGTTGCTCAAAGCCCCAGCCACCCTGACCTTGAATGTTGCCAGGGATGGGGCATCTACCACCTCTCTGGGCAACCTGTTGCAGTGTTTCACCACCCTCATTGTAAAAAATGTCTTCCTTATGTCTAGTCTGAACCTACCCTCTTCTAGTTTAAAACCATTCAAATAATTTCTAGGGGCTAGCAGGGGGTCAAATGGAAAAGAAACTTAGCCTTTGAGATAATTAAAGACAGCCTGTAACCATGTTCTTCTAAGTTGTCCCACTGGCCACTTGGGAGTGTGGCCATTCACCTGATCAAAGTTATTTTTAAGATGTTTCCAAGAAGGTGTTTTTGAGACAGTCAGTATGATTTAAAGTCTTGGCTTACTACTAGATATCAGTACATGTGATAAATACGCAGAATTAAATTGTGGAGCAGAAGTCAAGCTGGCAACGGCTGCTGTCATGGACCTACCAAACATTCAAGCCTCTGACCCAGGTGTATCGGGTTCTCCCCCCATTGTTAATCACACCAAGTCAATATTTCTTTTGAGGATTATACAGAATAGGATAGCACAAGGTGTACAATAACAACATTTGTACTAGCAAATTATGCAAAATATCACATGACAATTTCTTGGCAGTTTCAAAATAAGGAAACAGACCTAAGATGTTTTTAGGGTAGCTTCCCATTAGTGACAATACGTCCACTGATGGAGGGAAGTATTTGGTTTTCCCATCCAACCACTGTGATTTTTTAAACAGAGCAATTGTCAAAATCCGGTCTGCTTTCACTTCAGAATCTCAAATGACAGGGCTCAAAGATTTCCTTGTTGCTTTAAGTTCTCATTTCTTTCACTACACCTCCTTCCTCCTGCTTTAGGTGTTTGCTCAGTTAAAGCCTACGACAGAAAGATGATATGGCTATTTTATGGGAGCTACTCAGTAAGGGCAATCTTGGGTCTGCATATCACAGCCGTGGAGGGCCACGTCCGCACCAGAACAGCAGCACGTAAGGTGAGTTCACAGGCTGCAACAGTGCTGCACGCCCTGGAAGCTCCTGTGCTCAGTTTTGTGAGGGGCCTGGGGTAGTGGTGTTAAACAGGACAGGAAGGCAGGCAGCGTCTGAAAGCATCTGTTCCCATACAGGGATGGGCTGCAATAAAAGCCACTGCTGACTGAGGGGCCTGCCACCTCTGCAACACCTCTGAAAGCAGAGTTTCATGCGGAGAGCCTCTGGAGCTGTTCCAGAAAGCTACTCATTTTTTTGAAGTGCGAAGCAACAAAGTGAGCGCTGCTACTGCTGAGCCGGTACCCCCCAGTCGTGTTACTCAAGCTGCGGCTGTGCCCTTGGCTGCGGGGAGCAAACTTTTCAAAGGAGAACAGTCAGGTGCAATGGACCTGTGGAGAAGGCCAGCCATGCGACCCTGAGCAACAGCTTGCATCAGTGCAGAGTGAACATGTAGTTGTAGCTATCTGGCACAGTCATGTGTTCTCTCTTTGTCAGGACCTAAGCAACCTGCCTTGGGGAGCAAGGATGAAGGAAAACAGTGGAGAAGATGCAGATCAGGGCAGTCTGCAGGAAGACACAAACATGACTGCCAGAAGAGGAGAAAAAAAATTCTTCCATGCAAAAGTTATTTTCCATTCTATTCAGAAGTAAATTTAGTCTTCTGTCAGAAATCACTTTAAATACGTTACAGTCTCCACTACCGTTTTGGCAAAAGTGACTTTTCCTTCTGAGCAGCCTTTCCGGATTATTTTTGTCCTGCTAGTTTCCGCATTTGGCCAGGCTGATGTCCTGCTAAGGGCCGCTGCTGAGCTCCCCACCCCTCTGATCCTGACAGGACCTCTGCCAGTCCCGCCTTTCATCTCAGGATCAGGAGCAAGAGGGTGGCCTGGACAGTCAGCCCTGGGAGAAGCCGACCTCTAAATGCACCAACCAAAGGGAGCCATGCCACTGCCAGGAAGGGCCAGCAACAAAATCACACTCCATTGCCTCTCACATGTAACCATTTAAAGTCTCCAGAGAAAGAAAAAACCTGTCCTTCCTACCACGTCCACTAGGACGTTTCTTATGACGACCAGGCTGAAATAAAACACCAGGAACGAGATGATCTTTAAGGTCCCTTCCAATCCAAACCATTCTATGATTCTATGACCTATGCTAGTGCATGCAGAAGTAGAAGCAGATGCAAACCACGCACTGTTCTTCCAGGGATAGTGACACAAACCCCAGAAATGCAAGACCAGAATTTTCCATTTAAAAATTATGCCAGGATTTGTAAGCCTGATAGAACCTCAGGATTTTTACCGTTCTGTTTCATAAATCAGTGATTTCCATCCCAAGGGTAAAGAAAGGATTTATATTTGAAAGCGTATTTAGGATTTATTGGCAGGATTTGTACTGTAAAGGCATGGAAGGATTTGTAAATCTAATTTCTCTCTTACAAAAGCTTTTGAGGATTTTTGTGTGGTAAATCCAATTAATGTAATTTTAATGTCATGATTAAAAATCAGGCAACCCTGCCCCCCCCGCCCCCCCAATTTTGAACCATCTCACATCCTCATCAGCAAGAGCCACTGGAATAGTATGGGTGCCCTGCCATTGAGCGAGGTTGTCTGGAAAAGCCTCAGCTGCCTACCTCGGAGACAGGGGAGACAAGGAGCATGGCTTCCAGACAGATGGAGAAGAAACACTTACAGCACACAGGTCTTCAACTTCTTCCTCAGTACCTTCTTTGCTTGCTCACCACCACCTCTCCTGAACCACAGCAGGGAACAGCCAGGGCTCTTAGCCCCAGAGAGGCGACAAGAGAGCATCCCCTCCTTCAGACCCAGCTGTGCCCCCTCTCCCAGCTCATCCAGGGCAGCGGATAGAAGGGAAAAGGAAAGGATCTGGTGGGCAATCAACCCCCAGTTTGGGACACCTGTCGGCAGAGCGTGGCTGTCTCCCGGCTGACGAACCCAAGGACACCTCCTGACACTTCCACTCTGAAGGACCTGCCCTCCGCACCTACCCCCGCCTGGGTCAGGGCACCCCCAAATATGCAGTGACAGCTCAGTTCGCAGCACTGCTCCCCACCGGCACATCTTCACGCCAGAGATGCTCGTGCTTCAGTAAGGACGCTACCACCAAGCTTATTGCTACCCAAGAGACCAAGATCCAGACGCTGCTGATCCTTGAAACGCCAGCCTTCCCAAGCTGGAGCAGGCATACTGCGTTATCTCTGCAGGGTTTATTTTGAGGACCTAAAATAATTTAGATCCTAAATAGATTTACGTTTTGAAACTCTACCGGGCGCGGGTGCCCGGTGGCTGTCGGGGGCAGCGGG